GCGTGGGGTTTTATGTGGGTTCTGGGATCCCAAACTCTGGTCCCTGTGCTCCTATGGCAAAGCCTTATCTACCGAGGCACGGCTTTATTTCTGGTGTAAGTTAAGTGCGCTGCTTCATTTTCCGCTTGTGCCTCGATGGTCCAAGGATGCAGTCCGTTTTTCTCTGCTAACCATCTCGCCTGTAAACTCGCTCAGCGCACTCACTGGTTCTAAGAATTGTTTTACAATTCCCCAGAGATGCTTCGTATAAACTCTGCCAACTCAGACCACTGCACTCCCCCCAGACCAGACTCCCCACTCCCTCTTCCTGTCTTATGCACAGGCAGGGTGGGCCCTGGAGGAGACAGGACACCAGGGAAGCCTGTACCATTAACCCGGCTCCTGGCTTGTTTTAATTTTACTTTTATGTTTATTTATTTTATGTATATGAGTGTTTTGCCAACATGGATGTCATTGGATCGTGTGCCTGTCTGGTGCCCTATGAGGTCAGAAGACGATGTTGGGTCCCCCAAAACTGCAGGGATGGATGGTTGTGAGCTGTCGTGTAGGGGCTGGTACCTGAACTCCGGTCCACTGCAAGAGCAACAAGTATACTTACTTCCAATGAGCGGCCTCTCCAGCCTCAAGCTCCTGGGTTTTTTCTTGTTGTTGTTCTGTTTCTGTTTTGTTTTGTTTCTTTTGAGGGGAACAGTTCTGTCCTTCCCACTAAGTCTGATGCTAACTGTAGACTACACAGCGCCCTTCCTCTTCTGAGCAAGGTCCCTTCTGTTCCTCGTTTGTGGGCTTTGTCAATTTTGTCAATAGGATGCTCTGTCTCTATTCATGCATGTGATTTTGTGACCGTTCTCTTTGAATTAATTGTTGGAAAAATTAGGCCAGTCTCCTGCATTCCTCTAAGCTGTGCCAAAGTGTTCTCAAGAAACCCCTAGGCGCACACACACACACATACACTTGCCTGTTTGATTGACTTTTTGTTTGTTTGTTTGTTTTTTGTTTTTTCAAGACAGGCTTTCTCTGCGTCTTTGGAGGCTGTCCTGGAAGTAGCTCTTGTAGACCAGGCTGGCCTCGAACTCACAGAGATCCGCCTGCCTCTGCCTCCCAAGTGCTGGGATTAAAGGCGTGCGCCACCAACGCCCGGCTTGATTGACTTTTGAGACGGGGTCTCAGGAAGCCAGCCCACTCTGGCCTCAGTTTACTGTGTAACCAAGACCTGAGCTCCTGATCTTGCCTTTGCTGCTCCAGTTCTGGAAGTACAGGTGTGTGCCATCCCTCCCAGCTTAGATTTCAAATATTGGTTTTTATTCTTAGCTATGCATATATATGCATGCCACACACGTATATACATAGAGAGTATAGTTGTCCACAGGCTCCAGAAGAGGATGACTGATCCCCTGAAGCTGGACTTGTTACAGGGACTTGTGAGCTGCCTGATGCGGGAGCTGAACCTGGCTCTGCTACAAGGACGTTATTTACACTGCTGAGCCATCTCTCTGCCCCTGGCTAAGAGTTTATAACCTTTGAATTATCACCAACTTAATACCCACCCCAGAATGGTCTCTTTTGCGCTTGAATTCATTTTATCACCCTAGACACGCGCACAATGTGTTGTCTGTGTATTCTCCAGGAAACTGTCCTTCCCTGTTGATGCTCTCCTGTGTTGTATTTCTATAATTTACGTGCATTTTAATATATTGACAATATTAATCTTTATCGTATGAGATATGTGAATATTAATCTTTATCATATGCGATATGTGAAAGGTTCATTTTTGTTATTGTCACCATTATTGGCTAGTATCCATCTGTTTGTTCTTTTGAGTTAGCCTCTCAAGTAGCCCAGGCTAGCCTCAGAATCACCGCGTAGCTCGCTCGTGCTGGCCTTAGACTCCTGACCCTCCTTCCTCCATTTCTGGAGTTTGGGGACTGTGGGCACTTGCACCATCACACCTGGCTTGATAGACTTTTAGCTTGATAGTTTCAGGTTCACTGCGGAGATTTCCCATGTGTCCCTGGTCCTGGGGACCTAGCCACCCCGGCATCAGCATCGGCCGTCACACAGTGGATGCACCTGCGCCAAGGGTTCGTTATCACCCAGAAGCCCATAGTTTGCACAAAGCATTGTCTTGCTGTCGTGTGTTCTCTGGGTTTGGGCAAGTGTGTATAATAACCTTGTGGTGTCATACAAAGGGTTGTATTGTCTTGTGCTCCACACATAGTCCGTGTCTCCTCTCCTCCAGCCCCTGGGTAACCCCTGATATTTTAACTGTCTGCACAGCTCTCCTTTTCCTGACATTACAACAGGAAGCCTGCTCATATAACCATTGTTTTTCAAAAACATTCTGCCTCCTGCCCCACTTCCAACTCCCAGGGACCAGCAGGGGTCTTCTGCCTGCACCTTGACTCAGCGTTTTGCTCTGTGGGGATCTGGGAGGTTTGTGGAGGTGTTGGAAGTCGGTGCTTGGAACACGATGGTGTAGGGACCCTGGCCACTTTGCATACAGCTTAATACCACGCAGGGTGTGGTAGGGAGCAGCTTCTGGCAAACTCTCACCTAGACGGTAGACCAGGGCTTCACAGCGTGCATCAGCCGGAGGACTGGGGTATATCCTGGACCTGTGGGAGGACCCTGCTGGCCTGACTTCCTGACAGGTTGGGAAGGAGAGGCATATCATAAAAAGTGGGCCTTCTGGGAACTGTGAAGGGTTTGAAAGGCCCTGCTTTCTCCTTGATGGCTGAGAGACAAGGGGCTGGACCCGAGCTTCCCAGGGAGCTGCTCCCTGGGTGGTTTATACTGGATCTGCTGCTCTAGCAGAGAGCAGCTACTGGCTGTGGGGACAGCAGAAGGCCACAGACTGCCTCCGGCCTGCCTTTGCTCATAACCCAGGCTATCGTTTGCCGAACTTACGGCTAGATCTCCAGACCAGGGTTTAACCAGCGATGCCCAAAACTGCATAGTAAGATATTTTGCAAACAAAAATGTAAATAATTCATGGATTAAAAAAAAATAGTAGGATGATAGGGTACTGTAGCCACACTGCACACTCCAAGGGCAGAGCTCAGGTTCCGGTCTTTGTCCCACTACTTGCTAGCTGTGTGACCTCGGGCAAATTACATAGCCCTTCTGGGCCTTGGTTTAATTTTCTGAACTGTGTGGGTAATCCCACAATTCGTGTGATAAGATCGTGTGCCATAAAAACACATGGGGGCTGGACGGTGCTGATGCACACCTTTAAGTCAACCTAGTCTACAGAGCGAGATCCAGGGCAGTCAGGGCTACACAAAGAAACCCGCTCTCAACCAAAAAACAAAACAAAACCACGAGGGCCGGGGAGAGGGCTTATAGTGGGTGAAGTGCTTGCTGTGCACAAGCACAAGGACCCAAGTTCGATCCCTGGCACTTACGTTTAAAAAACCTGGCCTGGGGCGGTGGTGGCGCACACCTCTAATCCCAGCACTCGGGAGGCAGAGGCAGGCGGATCTCTGTGAGTTCAAGGCCAGCCTGGTCTACAGAGGGAGTTCCAGGACAGCCTCCAAAGCTACACAGAGAAACCCTGGCCTGGTGACCTCAGCCCTGGGGGAAACAGACTAGAGGAGCCCCTTAGTGCTGGACAGCCAGTCTGGCCAATCAGTGAGCTTCCAGGGTCGCTGACAGACCCTGAGAGATGGAGGAAGATCCGCCATAGTGACCCTGGCCTTGACACATGCCCTCGTACATATGCATGCACACACCCCCACCCTGGCGCATGCGGCGTGGCCAGGCCCATGTGCTCATGTCATTACACGAGGCATGTAGCTAATGTTGGTAGCCCATGTGTTTCCTCACGTAAACAATGCTTTTCAGAAACAAAGAAGAACTCTAAACCTGTGCAGAAGCCCCATACTGTCTAAGACTGTGACAGGGCAGCCGCCCTTCACAGGCCCCAGGGGACTGGGCGCTGTATCACAGTTGCTTACACCACACATATCCTTGTTGCTATCTAGGCTCCGAGAGGCTTGGTAACTGGCCTCTGTTCACTCAGGAGGTGTGAGCTCTGGTCTGGTATGCCATCTGACAACTTCCTACCTATATCAAAGTACCGGGGAGTCTATTCGTGGAAAAAAAATGCTTTTCCATTCCAACCAAAGTATCTCTATGCACAGAGTTATCTCTATGCACAGAGTTATCTCTAATCACAGAGTATCTGTAAGCACAGAGTATCTCTAAGCACAGAGTATCTCTAAGCACAGAGTTATCTCTAATCACAGAGTATCTCTAAGCACAGAGTATCTCTATGCACAGAGTATCTCTAAGCACAGAGTATCTCTAAGCACAGAGTATCTCTATGCACAGAGTATCTCTAAGCACAGAGTATCTCTATGCACAGAGTATCTCTATGCACAGAGTATCTCTAAGCACAGAGTATCTCTATGCACAGAGTATCTCTAAGCACAGAGTATCTCTATGCACAGAGTATCTCTAAGCAGAGAGTATCTCTATGCACAGAGTATCTCTAAGCACAGAGTATCTCTATGCACAGAGTATCTCTAAGCACAGAGTATCTCTAAGCACAGAGTATCTCTATGCACAGAGTATCTCTAATCACAGAGTATCTCTAAGCACAGAGTATCTCTATGCACAGAGTATCTCTAAGCACAGAGTATCTCTAAGCACAGAGTATCTCTAAGCACAGAGTATCTCTAAGCACAGAGTATCTCTAAGCACAGAGTATCTCTGAGCACAGAGTATCTCTAAGCACAGAGTATCTCTAAGCACAGAGTATCTCTATGCACAGAGTATCTCTAAGCACAGAGTATCTCTAAGCACAGAGTGTCTCTATGCACAAAGAGTAACAGGATCAGCATGCTCATTTGTTCATTCACTGACATCTGGGGCACGGCTTGTGGTAAAGCGTGTCCCATCGTGCCCTGTGTGTCTAAGCCCAGGGTGTACATTACACGCCCCCCTCCCCTGGGTTGGCACGGCAGAGAGACGAGAGGTCCTCACACCACCTGCTCTGCCAGCTCCCCCTCTAGCTCGGATGCCAACCTGCGGTTCCCCGACAGCAGCGGCCTCCTGCACACAGCTCGCTGGGACGAGCCTCTGCGGGGGTGTGCCCTGGAGCAGATTTGTGGTGTCTTCCGAGTGGACCTGGGCCACATGCGCTCCCTGAGACTCTTCTTCAGGTAAAAACCTACCCTCTGCTTCCTGCAAGCATGCGTGCAAGTGTGTGTGTGTGCAAGTACGTGTGTGCCTGCGTGTGTGTTCATGTGTGTGTATGCACATGCACACATGTGGGGGGACACACATAGCCAGGTGCATTTCCAGTCTCACGGGCAGCAGAAGGCTGCACCTGGTCTAGAAGATGCTGGTGGTTGCCTCCCTGATCCCACTCTAGGACACTACACAGTCTGTCCCCAACACCCTCAGGAAGGAAAGCCCACGCCAGGTGCTGCTGCTGCTGCTGGGCACTGCAGGCTGCTGTGTGGTTTTTGCGTGGTTGGTACTGCCCTGGCCCCTAGTTGGAGGCCACCTTTCCTTCACAGACCAGAGCTGCTGCCTACTGTCTACAGTTTCCCTCGTCAACCCATCAAAAAAAAATCCCGGTGGGAATCCCCTGAGGGTGCTGAGGTGGTCGGGTGACAGCCTTGAAGGTAATTTTGGGAAACCCTCTCCTGTGGCCCCTTACGATACGGCCATGAGGGTAGAGGCTGAGTAACCCCCCCCCCCTTCGGGGTCCAGATCTGTCTCCAGCCAGCCCTGGCACACTCCTCCAGGTCTCCTGGGCAGCTCAGGGATGGTGAGCGAGGGGGTCCTCTGGCTCCAGGTGCCTTTGCTCCCCAGGCAGTGGGAATGCTGAGTCTGGCTGCCCCTGCCCCTCACACAGGCAGCCAGACTCCCTTAGGACTCACCGTTTCCTGCCCGAGGTGGCTGACGGTGTGTGCTCTGACTAAACTCAGAAATCAAAGCCCATGTTAACACGCTCACCCCTCCCTCACCCTGTGGCCCCTCTAGTGATGAAGCTTGCACTAGTGGCCAGCTGGTGGTGGCCAGCCGAGAGAGCCAATACAAGATTTTCCACTTCCACCATGGCGGCCTGGACAAGCTCTCCGAGGTGTTCCAGCAATGGAAATTCTGCACGGAGACACACCTCAGGGACCAGGTAGCCCGGCTGTGAGTGGGGCGGACATGGTGAGGGGTGGGAACGCCTCTCTCAAGATACCAGCTGTCAAACCCGTGGGTCTGGGACCGTCCCAGTACGCCTTGCTCACAGGTCTGGCTACCAGGGACTCTGAGGACTGTGGCATTTGGGCCGGCTGTGGTTTGCAGAGGCTGACAGTGATACGCTTGGGGGCGGGGGGGGGTTGAAATGTGTGCCCAGGCCTTTCCGAAAGTCGCTGTGAGCACTTGAAGACTCATGTTTTGACAAGGCCTCCTGCCATATTTTGCTCGATCTGCATACAGAGGTAGTAAGAACCTTTAAGTCACCTGTTTAAGATACCGTGTGTGCGTATTAGCGCTGGGGGCTGACTTTACGGTCCCCGCCCGCAGAGCCTCCTGCCGGCTCCCCTTATTACGATATAGGCATGCCCCCCCCCCCGCATCGAGCAACCTTTGATTTTTGAATTAAATGTCAGCTGCGGTTTCGCCCTGGACTCGTGACTGTGCATGGAGACAATCTGACAGGCTGGCTCCCCCGCTCGCCGAACAGCGGGCCTTTGTATGTGGCCGATCGAATGGAATCTATTGCAGGCTCTCCCTGGCAGAGGGAAGTTGGGCCATAAGGGGTATTAATTCTGGTTTTCTTTGCGGCTGGGGCAGGGAAGGGAGTGGGGGCGGTGGAGGCCCCCCCCACTGTGAGCTGCAAAGGGAGAGAGATTTTAGGATGAAGGTATTTTCATTTTAATTGTGTCCAATTACACTTGCCATTTAGGAGTGCAGGGACAGTGCCTCCCCTCCTCCCAGAGGAGAGCGCCGCGGCTCTGACACCCTGGGAACAGCATCTCGGGCTTCAAAAAGCCCGGAGATCTTAGATCCTGCTCTCCTCCCGGGTTCCTCCCACCCATCCAGCAGGTCACGGATGAGAGGACATGCATGCAGTTCTCCATCCGAAGGCCCAAGCTGCCATCCTCTGAGACCCACCCGGAAGAAAGCCTGTACCGGAGGCTGGACGTGTCTGCCTGGCTCAACCACCTGAATGATCTTGGCCAGGTGGAGGAGGAATACAAGCTACGCCAGGTACGGTGACGTGGCGGCAGCGGCGGTGGCGGGGAGGGGGGCACCTGGCTAGCCTCCAGGGAACCCTGGTAGTCAAGCTGCAGGGAGGGAGGGAGGGAGAGAGGGAGGGAGGATGGGTGGGTGGGTGGTGGGCCACCGCCTCCGGAGGGCCAGTCCCAGGCGTGGGGTTTCATTCTCTGCATTGACGAAGCAGTCCAGGGGCTGCCTGAGGAGACAAATTCCACAAGTTTGGGGATCCCTTGCGGGCCCCCGTGGACTCTGAAGCATTGAAGCCCCCAGGATTAGCCCGCGACGTGAGAATGACACGTTATCTCAGAGTGCCACCCCGGGGGGGCTTTGACATTGAAATGAGCCAGTTTGTGTCCTGTATGGGAATGCCTCTCCAGCACTTTCCCCCTTGTAAACATGTGCAAATTGCTGGGGTCTGAATCGAGGCTCGCCAAAGGCCCCACAACACCCTTCTCTGGGGATCTGGGGTTCTTTGGAGCTGCCTTGTTGTAGACTCTGCTCTCCCCCTCACCCCTTCCCCCGCCCCCCCTCAATTTGTGCTGCTTCCTCCAGGCCATTTTCTTTGGTGGCATTGATGTGTCGATCCGGGGGGAGGTCTGGCCTTTCCTGCTGCACTATTACAGCCACGAGTCCACGTCGGAGGAGCGTGAGGCGCTGAGGGAGCGGAAGCGAAAGGAATATTCAGCGATCCAGCAAAAAAGGTGGGAAGGCGCGTTGTGCTCCAGGAGCCCCCATTAAACTGCGGGGGGGGGGTGTCAGGGGTGCAATTCATCACTGACTGTGCATTGCACGAACCGTAGTTTCCCTGGAGTGTGAGTCTCCCAAGAGCCAGCACCGATGGCTGGACAAGGCCAGTTGCTACACCACGCTCCCCGTGCCTTGGTCCAAGGCCCCTTACTTCACCTGCTAAGGACTTTAGAGTATGTGCTCAACAGACTTAACGAGCTGGCCAGTGTTCACCCAGTGGCAGGCTGGGCTGGGACCTGATGTCAGTCAGGGCTGAAGGCTGTCTCCTGTGTGGGTTTCCACAGGCTGTAGCCAACTCTTCTCTGTGGGGCTGGACTTGAGTTAACATGAGGAAAGCCTTGAATGCACCGCACACACACAGGCACACGGACGTGCATGCGTGTGCACACACATATACACATATTCACACGTACTCTTGGAAGCTGGAAGGTTGATGCTGATAGCATACACACACACACACACACACACACACACACACACACACACACACACACACACACACCCTTCCCTCCCCGTTGGTGCTGACAGCCCCAGCAGCAGAGGTTGGAGCTCAGGAGAGCACAGGCTTCTGTCTCCTGGAGTGTGCAGCCACTCCAGGCTCCCGTCCGTACTATGCCCTCCCCGGGTCCTCCGCAGCACCCCCTTCTACGGCTGACCTCGGGGCGGGGCTCTGTCTGCCCCACAGACTCTCCATGACCCCCGAGGAGCAGAGGGCCTTCTGGCGCAGCGTGCAGTTCACCGTGGACAAGGACGTGGTGCGGACAGATAGGAATAACCAGTTCTTCCGCGGGGAGGACAACCCAAACGTGGAGAGCATGAGGTACCCGTGACTCTGGCCTCCCTGTGCGAAAGTCCGTGGCCCCTGTCTGACTCCCTGGCTGCCGTGAAGCACTCCACACAGAGCAGAGGACCCACAAGCTCCTTTAGCTCCTGACCCCCGTAGAGGCCACTCAGTCACAGCTCAGGGTACCAGCGAAGCCTCCCCACTCCTCTCCTTGCTTGGGCCCTGCTCACTAGGGACATCCCCCCCCCACGCTGCCACGTGTGCTGTCTTCTCCTGATGATGGCTCTCCTGTGATAACGCCACTCTGAGCCAGAGGCTGCCATCTTTGGTATTCTGCTGCAGCCTGGCAAGTAACCGCACAAAATTAATAGCCGATAAAAACGACCACCCAGCCCGCCCTTTGTCTCAGACAGTGAACCATTAAGAAAGTCGGGCCCGCATTTCTGCCAAGCCCCTGCTCTGGGCTCTGGCAAATGCTGTTACCGCTTGCAAAAAGCGAGTCCCACTGACTTCCATCAGAGCCCGGATTTTTTTTTTAAGGCAGGGTTTCTCTATGCATCCCTGGCTGTCCTGGAACTGACTCTCTCTATAGATCAGGCTGGCCTGAAAAATCACAGAAGTCTGCCTGCCTACTGAGTGCTGGGATTAAAGGTGTGCACACCACACCTGGCCAATAATAACCCACGCTCGGAGTTAGTGAGGGCTGTGACACCTGCCAACTGCACCGTACCGCCTCCCCTGAGACCAAGGTGAAGGAGGGGCCCCAGCACCTGGTGGGGGCTGCAAGGACGGGATGGGTCAAGCCACCTCTGCTCCCCACTGCCCCACCAGGAGGATTCTGCTGAACTATGCTGTGTACAACCCAGCCATCGGCTACTCACAGGGCATGTCAGACCTGGTGGCACCCATCCTGGCAGAGGTCTTGGATGAATCAGACACTTTCTGGTGCTTCGTGGGTTTGATGCAGAACACCATCTTTGTTAGCTCTCCCCGGGACGAGGACATGGAGAGACAGCTGGTGAGGCGTGTGTGTGTGTGTGTGACTATGTGCTGTGTGGTTTGTATCTCTGTGCACCTAGGTGTGTGTATGCATGCGCATCTGTCTGTGTACCGGAGGGTTTGGAAAGACAGCACACTACCTCCTGATGCTGACATCAGGGGTCAGTAGATGGGAGAAAAGCCGTCTCTGCTGACAGGGGGCGGGTCTTCTGGGAAGGGCCAGCTAGCCGCCTATAGGAGATACGTGTTTGGGTCTGGGCCAGCCTCTAAGCCATTCCTCCTGAAACTCCAGAGGCTGACTGTTACAGGCCTTACCCTGCCAGCCTTCTCCCTCCCTGCAGGGCCAATCACAATCCAGTCTCCTGGATAGGACAGGGAAAGGGAGGTCTATGCTACCTGGCTCAGGTGTGTGTGACTAGCAGCGCCCATTACAGACAGCCAGGGCCGCTGTGGGAACAGAAGTTCTCCAGCATTTCCCAGATGTCCAACAGGCAAGCCTCACATCTCCACCCCCCCAAAAAAAACACTGGCCTTTTTGTAGGGCTCAGGTGACACTGGCCACAGTGATCAGCCCTACATAAGCCAGGCAGCACCGAGTGTTGGGGACTGGATCTTGTCACTGAAAGGCACCTGTGTTTGTATCAAGCTCCTGCCTGGGTTCCAGGCCCTGGATATGGGTGGCCCGCCCTCCGTCCTGCAGATGGCCCGGTTTGGAAGCAGACAAGCCGACAGAGGGAACATATGAGCTCCGGGGACAGGAATCGCAGGTGTCCCGTCCGGTGGCTGTCTCTATTCCATCCGGGTCAGGCCCAGTGGCCCCTTGCTGGATGAGGTTGCACCTCATCCGCAGTGATGGCGGAGCTGAGGAAGAGCTAGACGCTCGGCCCGTAGACCAGCCGCTAGGAACTGGAGGGCTGAGCGCAGCGAGGAAGGTGTGGGAGAAGCAGCTAGCAGCAGGAGTACCGGGCACCTAGCACATCCTGCGCATCCATTAGAAAGCCGTCGGCCACACGGTGTCCTTTATCTTCCACGAGCCACAGATCGGAGACCCTGGCTAGTCAGGAGGGGCTCTCGGACTCCAGAGCCACATGGCTGCAGGCGCCGGGAGTGGTGCAAAGTCCCAAGGCCGCCCTGAGCTCAGCAGCCTCTGATGACCCTGCTGGGCAGCAGATGCCTGACCCCCAAGCCGACCCTGGGCCCCTGCCTCATCACGCATCCCTGTGATGTCAGGTTTCCACGGTACCCAGGGAGGCAATTACAGGGTCTGACGCCATCACCCTGGCAGCCTGGCGGCACATGGCCAGTGACTCATTAGCTGTTGGAGACTGGTTTTCTGGTGGCGTCAGCCCCCACCTGGTGCTTCCAGAAATAGCCTCTGTCAAATCCCATGCACCCTGGTGACCTGACACACAGGAACCCAGGGTCTCGAAACTCAGACACATAGCCTCCCTTGGTCAGCCCTGGGAGTTGCTAGGTGGGATGGAAAGGGCTTTAGCTGGGGTTTCACCAACAGACCCGCTTTCCCTGCCTGGTCAGGCGTATATTAGAAAGAGCCCCTGGGGGTTCGGCTGAGGCTGGGGGATGACTTCACACTGAGTCAGCCTCCTTGACCACCCAGGAGATCATTCTATGCCTAGGGCTATTCAGTGGTCTCCTTCTAGAATATCTTCAAATCTAAGATGACCTGGAAGACAGGTGTGATCAAGATTCCAGTGGCGGGGGCTGGGAGATGACTTAGTCAGCAAAGAGCCTGTCGTACACGACCGAAGCCCAGATCTGCAGCTCTGGGGGAGGGGGAGGGGGGTGCTGGGTGTGCCCTGGGGAAGCTCAGACAGGTGGATCCCTGGAGCTTTGCTGCCCAACCAGTCCAGCTAATTGGCAAGCTCTGGGTTCAGCGAGAGACACGGTCTCAAAAAAAGGTAGACTCAAGAGGGAAAGATGGTCCAGAGGTTTATAGCGTGCACTGCTCTTGTAGAGGGCCCGAGTTGGATTCCCAGCACCTATGTCAATCGGCTCACAATTGCCTTTAACTCCAGTTTCAGAGATATCGATCTATCTCTGGCCTCGCTGGCTGCCTGAAGTCATGTGCACAGACCCACCTCTACATATGCAATTAAAAATAATAAAATGCGGGCTGGAGAGGTGGCTCAGAGGTTAAGAGCACTGACTGCTCTTCCAGGGGACCTGGATTTGGATCCCAGCACCCACACGATTGCTCACAACCATCTGTGGCTCTGGTTCCCAGGGGTCCAACTCCCTCTTCTGGCCCCCAGGAACACCAGGCACGGGTGCCGTACACAGACATACATACAGGCAGATCACTCATACACAAGGGAATATATAGCTTCAATTTTTAAATAATAAGTCCTTTTAAAAAATGAAATAAGCCGGGCGTTGGTGGCGCACGCCTTTAATCCCAGCACTTGGGAGGCAGAGGCAAGTGGATCTCTGTGAGTTCGAGGCCAGCCTGGTCTACAAGAGCTAGTTCCAGGACAGCTTCCAAAGCCACAGAGAAACCCTGTCTCGAAAAACCAAAAAAAAAAAAAAAAGAAATAAGGGCCGGGCGTTGGTGGCGCACGCCTTTAATCCCAGCACTTGGGAGGCAGAGGCAGGTGGATCTCTGTGAGTTCGAGGCCAGGCTGGACCGACAGCCTCCAAAACAGAGAAACCCTGTCTCGTAAAACCAAAAAAAAAAAAAAAAAAAAAAATGAAATAAGGTAGACTGTCGGAAGACACCCAGTGTTAACTTCTGGCATGCACGCACGCACGCACGCACACACACACACAGTGTGTGTCAGTGCCTGGCTGATGGGTTTGGCAGACAGAGAGACTTCCTGTGTGTGCTTTTGGGGTTGAAGGTGTTCTGAGTACCTGTCTTCCTGGCCCCGGCATCCAGGCTTCCCCAGAGCCTGGCTAACGCGCCCCCCCCCTCCCCGCCCCCTCCAGCTGTACCTGAGGGAGCTGCTCCGGCTGACCCACCCTCGCTTCTACCAGCACCTGGTCTCCCTGGGCGAGGATGGGCTCCAGCTGCTGTTCTGCCACCGATGGCTCCTGCTGTGTTTCAAGCGGGAGTTCCCTGAGGCTGAGGCCCTGCGCATCTGGGAGGCCTGCTGGGCCCACTACCAGGTGAGCTGGCGGGGGAAGGTGGGGTCCTGGGATCACCCCCCCCAAGCCTCCTCTCCTACGGGGTGGGGGTGTCTCCTCCATGCCCCACCCACCAACGCCACCCACAGCCACTATTTTCCAGGCCTGTGCAGCTGGCTTCAGACCCCACCCCACCCCACCCCCATGCAACTGAATTCAATGCAAATTGTTGGGTGACATGCTCACTGCTGGTTGTCACAGCCAGTCAGTGGGAGGGACATCAGCACCCCAGGACAGTCACGGCAGCCCGGGATATATGTGTCACGTGTCACGCGCTGCGGCCAGTGCTATACTGCCCCGCCCTGCTCCCAAGAGTGCCCGGCCACCCTGAGCTCCTTGCCTTCCCGCAGCTCCAGAGAGAGCCTGGATGAGGGATGCGGGCATCCACTTGTGTTTAGCATGATCAGTTTCTCCTCCGCCAGCTCCCCTCTGACCGCCAGGCTGAGTCTGCATTCCCGCCTGAGCTACACCCAAGCCATCAATGTAAGAAAGTCAGTTTGAGTCCATCAGCCTTAAATATGATGATGATGATGATGATGATGATGATGATGATGATGATAATACCACCAAAGGTTGGGGAGATTGCTGAGTGGGTGAAGTGCTTGGAGTGCTTGGAGTCCCTGAACCCGTGTTTTCAAAACCAGGCATGCCAGACATGGCGGTACACACCTTTAATACCAGCATTCCGGAGGCAGAGGCAGACAGGTTTTTGTGAGTTCTAGGAAAGTCAGAGCTACACAGTGTGAACTGTCTAAAACAAAAACAACAACACAAACACACACACACACACACACACATACACACAAACCCGGCTGGGGTATCAGAGGCAGGCAAGTCTCTAGAGCTTGCTAGCCAGTCAGTTCAACCTAATTGCTGAGCTCCAGGTCCCGGTGAGAGACCCAGAGAAACTGTCTCCTAGCCTCACGTGGGCGCACGTGTGTACGTTTACACGTGGGCTTGCACAAACAACAAACAGTACCATCCGTGTGTCCAGAGCTCATCTCCGTCCTCCTCTACCCCCAGCCGCAGCTGCGAAAAGCTCGCATTGGAGTCGCCTCTCTGCTGCCAGGGCATCCTAGACTTAAAGTCTATTCTAGACAGATATTCTGAGTGGCCAGGGAGGCTGGGCCACGGGGGAATGACCGTCCTCTGAGGCTGCGGGCAGCCACCTGCTGCTCAGCCGCCGCTGGCCGCCGTCTCTTTCAAGACCCACAGAGGAAGTTCGTGTTGCCTTCAGGTTCTGGGATTAGTGGCCACATCTGGAAAGTCTACCTTCCCCCATCAGCCGAGAGTGGGAGGGAGGGAAGATGATGAGTGAACCAGGAGTGAACTCCAGAGGGGAAGTCACCGGCAGGCGAGGGCCTCGGCTTCCAAAGCTAAGGCTTCCTGCAGTCCTCTGTGCTGTGGCTTGCTGCTGAGCTCCTGCCCGGGGAGCTGGGACTTGTCCCCTGCTCTGGTCCAGTCTCCGTAGTGTGTCCCTTCCTTCGGAAGAAGCGGGTGGGCAGGCCAGGGATGGGGACTTCGGCACCCACGGCCTCTGCGAGCTGTGCCGGTCTTGTTGGAGGATGACAGCCCACATGGTGTTACTGGGATACTCAAGAGGGCGTTCCTAGAACCCCCATCCTTCTGTGTCAGGGCTGAGCCCCTTTGGGTGTCAGGCAAGAGAGCACCACAAGGTGGCCCCAAAGGAGGCAGGGAGGGAGGGACTGTGGGCATCTGGAGAGGGTAGGGGCCCGCAAGATGGGAGCAGCCCTCCATGGGGCCTCCAGGGAATCTTAGTAGGGGTCTCCCCACACGTTCAGCCACCGAGTGGGGCCACGTGCTAAGGATGCTTGGCTGAAACAGGAGGACACGCCACCAGGAAGTCAGCTGCCAGAACGTCTTCCTTGTTGGCATAGTCTACATACGGCCTTCAGGAAGCAGTCTGGTCAGCCCTTTGCACACACGGGATATCCTCGAGACCCCTGTGGGTGGGACGCTGCAGCGAGCTCGGACGGGCTAGGAAGGAAGGTGTTCTTTTCCCTCTTCCCAGACGCCTCCCCAGAGAGCACCAACAGCCAGGGTGTGGCACAGCTGTCATCCATTAGTGTGTCACAGCAGCCCAGGATGTGGCTGCCAACCACTGGCCCTGTCTGCAGGTGGGGAACCGGAGATGCAGGATTCCCAGGCACACGGGACCTTCGAGCCCAGGCCCCGGTCCCAGACAGCCTGAGCCAGACTCATGGCTGAACTCGGGTTCCGATTTGGAAGGGCCCTTCTGAGCTCTCTTGTCTCCCCGTTAGACAGACTACTTCCACCTGTTCGTCTGCGTGGCCATCGTGGCCATCTACGGGGATGACGTCATCGAGCAGCAGCTCGCCACAGACCAGATGCTCCTGCACTTCGGGAACCTGGCCATGCACATGAATGGAGAACTGGTGCTCAGGAAGGTGGGTGTGGCCCTGGCCTGCCCCGCCCTATATGCAAGCAAGGTTCCCCCCCATATCCCGAACCGTCCCACCCGCCCCCCGTGGGCGTGGCCCCGTCAGACCCGCCCTGTACACAAGCAGGGCCCTCCTCCCCCGCATACCGAACCGACCCACCCGCGCCCCTGTGTATGGAGCCCCACCCCACACCTCACAGCCCCACCCCTACACGTGAAGCCTTGCCCATACCTGAAGGACCCAGCCCTGCACACAGAGCTCTACTCCCCCATCTCACAGCCCCACCCCTGCCCACGAAGTCCTGTCCATACCTCACAGCCCCACCCCTGCCCACGGAGTCCCATCCACACCACAGACAGAACCCCACCCAGCACATGGGCCCAGCTTGTACGTAGAGCTCCTCTCGTGCCACAGAACCCCACCTCCGCACGTGGTCGCCACCCCACACACAAAGTTCTGTCCTGCCCCTCACTTACCTCTGATGGTCTTTCCCTACCAAATCCATGGGGATCAGCCCTTGATACAGCCTCATCAAACCCAGTGGTGCTATTGTGTCCCTGCGCTGCCCCCGTGGTCCTGGGGGGGGGCGGACACAGCCTCTTTCCATAGGCTACAATGCATGAATGCCCAGCCAGCCCCCACCCAGGAGTGCCTCCTTCCGGTTCAGAGCTAGGAAAGCGAGGAAGGAGAGGCAGAACCCAGGGAGGACTTTTAGCTTTTTATCCAGGGCTGGAAGAAAGGCGACCTTGAACCCCAGCCACTGCCTGCTTCCCACACTCCAGCTGGCAGTTCCGGTCCCTCTGGGGGTCCACGGAAGAGCAGGGGTCCTCAGGCCCATCACTGTGCTGGGACTCCCCCAGACAGGCCTTGCAGGGGCGCAGGGTGATTCTGTGCGGCAGGGGCGGAGTGCAAGGGTCTTTTACTGTCGGGAAGGGAGTGGGACGGGGTTGGAGGGGCCTGCACAGGACAGGAAGGGCTGTGTTGTGTAGGCTAGTGTCATTCTCCCACTACCCCCTTGTGTCAAGATGGCCTGGCTGTCCCCTTAGCCTTTCCTCTCTCTGCAGGCCAGGAGTCTCCTGTACCAGTTCCGCCTCCTACCGCGGATCCCCTGCAGCCTACATGACCTGTGCAAGCTGTGCGGGACAGGCATGTGGGACAGCGGGTACATGCCAGCTGTGGAGTGTGCCGGCCACCACCCGGGTTCAGAGAGCTGTCCCTATGGGGGCACAATGGAGATGCCGTCCCCCAAGCCCCCAAGAGAAGGCAAGAAGGGCCCAAAGGCACCCCGGGAGGCCTTTGGTTTCCGCAGATAGGAAAACCTCTGCCCTTGACAAGAGCAAGGGGACCTCCCCGAGGCCCTGGACAAGTGGGGAGAGGGAGGGGACGGACGTCGAGGGAACGGAGTCTAGAAACACAAGGAAAGGCCTCTGGCCAGTGTGACAAAGTCAGACACTGAAGTGACACAGCGGATATCAGGTGTCCTGAGGATTCAGCGTCTGAAAGGCTGGCCCAGGGTGTCTGGCTACTAATGCACCGGAATGCAGGCTGCTGGCTGGCCGGCTGGGGGATTCCAGCAGAGCCCAGAGTCACTCCCTGAGCTGTAGGCAAAGCATGGTCCAGAGAAGGCTTACATCCTCAACATGGTACCAAGGGACAGAGGAGCAGGTCTGTCCTGAGTGAGTCAAGCATACCTCCGAAGCCTCCTGGTCACAGCTGCAAGACTGGTGTCCAAACTGTGTGTGTGTGTGTGTGCGTGTGTGCGTGTGTGCGTGTGTGTGTGTGTGTGTGTGTGTGTCAGAGACAGACAGAGAGAGAGAATGAGGGAGGGAGAGAGGGAGAGAGAGAGAGAGAGAGAGAGAGAGAGAGAGAGAGAGAGAGAGAGAGAGAGAGAGAGAGAGAGAGAGAGAGAGAGAGCACAAGCATACATTCGGGCCTGAGCTTCCCACGGTGTCCATGTGAGTGCTGGGAGGGACATGCCTACCCTGAGCCAGAGACACAGGCTGGTGGACAAGTGTCAGATGTACCTTGCACTGGGGTCTTCCCCTTAGGATCTGAGGTTTGTTCTCTCTACCAAAACCAGCAACCCACTGGGGCTTCAATGGGCTGAGGGGCGTGATACGCACACCCCCGAGGTCCTCTGATGAGAGCATGCTTAGTGCTGGGGAAGGAGGAGATATAAACTCCCAGCCAAGACAAAGGCATCTGAAATAGCAGGGGAGGTGGCCTCCTCCTCCATGCAGGACCCGGGTCCCCGTTATGCCAGGGGCTTCTGTCCCTTGGTGTCTCTGTGGCTGAGTGGCACGGGGGGTGGCTCTGCCTCTTAAGAAGGAAAAGGTCACCCCCACACTCCATCCTCCGAAACTGAGGATGGCTGTTGGATAAAGGTGTGTTCCAGAGCATTCCTAGCCAGTACCCCGAAAGCCAGTGCAAGAAAGGAGCCTGGATCCTCCACCAAGGGCTGAACCCGTGTGGGAATACAGGCGGCAGGGGTGGGCACAGGTGCCCTGCCGTTGACTTCCTCAGAGAGGGGCGCTGCAGGACGGTGCCCCGTTTAACAGGTGCCGCTTATCCGAGTGACAAAGGAGGCCTCTCATGGCCACCTCCCAGCTTCCCCTTCTCCACGAGCCCCTTCCCTCTCCTGCAATCATTTCTGAGGATGGGGGGGGTCCCTGTAGGAAGGGCTTTTGGGAGAGTGATGTTCATCATGGGCAACACTGCAGTTCTGAGAGTGGCCTTTTATTTTAGCCGACTCACTTTCTATGCTAGTGTCTGGAAGCTAGGGCCCCAACCAGGCATATCCGACGTCTGGTACCGCCGTAACAGTACGTGGGACACAGCCTCAGTGGCTACAGCCACGGGCATCTGACTGGCACACGCAGCTTTGGGTCAGTGGTCCAGGCTTGGGCGGTCCTGGTCTTGGAGAGGATTGCTGGCTCTCTCCCGGGGTCACCGTCTCCGAAGCCCCAGTGGGTACGTAAGATGTGTGGCCTCCGAGTCTTGAGTCACCCCGTGACGGTGGAGGCAGAAATGAGCAGGTGCTTTTCCAAGTGTTGGTAGGTGCAGACCACCGGCACTTGTTGACCACCGGAGGGGCAAAGCAGGCTGCGTGGCCGAATGCGGCATCCAGTGTTGGAAAGCGAACCCTTGTCTCTGGGGTTTCTCCCAGCGGTCACGAAGCAGAAGCCTGGTGATCCAGACGGGTCCCATCAGCCTACCACCCTAGGAAATCTAGATACAGATCACTCCTTTCCCAAGGAGGAAGAGCCGGCTCCCCTCCCCCCTCTCAGGATCACACTCCCATGCTATACCCCATGGCCTACACGTTCACTGTGCTGTGTCGGGTGGGGACAGCGGGGCAGCTCTAGGGATTCCCTCACCCTGGAGAGTCTCAGAGAGCAAGGATCTCTAGCTCTCACTGCTCCCCAAGGCCTGACCTAGAATGGTCAGCGACAGCCTTGTGCCTGGTATCTCCCTAGTCCCATGGACCCTGGCATTACCTGTGTTAAGCCAGCTGGGGCCTCTCCAGCCAGACACGGTGTGTGGGCTCTCGGAGCTCTGCTCGACAGAATGGAGAGAGGCCCCCGCATGCACAGAGCAGCAACCTTAATCTGGATGCAATTAGAGGAGACCAGCCAAATACCCTGTGGCAGCTGTTACCCCGGGATTATTCCCAGCCAGCAAAAGGCATTAGGGTGATAATTCAGTCATTAGACTTCTAGCCTTCCCACCGCCAGGACATACAAATCACGGGTAATCAGCCCGCACACCGTCCCTTGGCCACGAGGCTTATTTAACCCATTTTTTAAAATGACACTTAATGCTATTGACCAGCACGCCTGTGTGCGCATGCCCCGCCGCTAATGTCTGTGCTGACGACATCACCTCATGTCACTGGGGCTCTAGCAAAGGAAGATACCTTTGATGTGTGTGTGTGTGTGTGCATGTGCATGCGTGTGTGTGTGTGTGTGTGTGCATGCATGTGTGCATGCGTGTGTGCATGTGTGTGCGCGCGTGCGTGTGTTCATGCGTGTGTACGTGCATGCGTGTGTGCTGGCACGGGTGAGGCATAATGCCTACCTTGGAAAGGGCCACTCGCTTTGCTTCTGACTCACTTTCCAAGCAGAGGGAACAGTGTTGGGGGAGGGGGCGGCAGCCAGGGGAGCCGAGGGCAGGGTTGGGGTGGAATGCGTGCTCCTCTGTCTGGGCCAGTGCCCTCACCGGGTACAGAGAAGGCCTCTGTTTCCATAGAAAGCTCTGCCTCAAGTGCCAGCCAGGAGGCCTGGCCCGCCTCTGCAGACTGTGTGGTTCCTGGCCAGCCAGGGTCAGGGAGGGGTACAGGTTACATTCAGGAGGGAAGATTTCGGTCTTGACTTGTGGGTGTGTTTGCTGAAAGTGGTCAAAGGAGTGTCTCCTGGAGCTGGTGCCTTTGACGGCCCTGGGCACGGGGAGGGGCTGGCGATAAGGTATCGGGGAGAGGACTGTGGGTGGTTTCGGGGGTTCCTCTGCCCTCTTGCCTGCACTCAACATTTTGTGTTTGCTTTGCTGCGCCAAGGGCCGTGTGTGGAACTCGGGGCCCATGCTCGTGCTAGGCAGACGTGCTGCCCCACTGAGTGACCCGCCCAGCCCATCTGTTTCATGTTTGATGAAGTCAGTTCGGACAGAGGTCAGCACACACACACACACACACACACACACACACACACACACACACACACACACGGTGCCAGGAGTTCACCTGTGGCCTCCTCTAAGAGGCTTCTTTCCACTGCAGTCAGGCTGGGGTTGTCAGGGACACCCTGGTCCCACCAGACGGAAGGATAGGAGACTCCCTGGAGGTCGCCCCTCCCAGGAGGGAGAAAGATGGCAAGTCTCCTGGAAAACTTAACGCAGAGGTATAGCCTGGGTTAGAAGGAGGCCAGCCCCCCCCCGTGGGCACAGCCTGAGGCTAGACCTGCCCTGGAGTCCCGGGAGAGCACGGCGGTCTCTGGATGTTAGTCTCGTGTTTCTACAGTGGTTGTGTTGCATTTTGTCCTGGGATAACCTAGTCTAGAGGGAACCTCCCCAAACCTAAGAAGCCAGTTCCGCCCCTCGGCGCCTCCCCGGCAGGGAATGAAGGGTTCCCCTAGCCTGTGCTTCCTCGCCTGTGGAAGGAGAGGAAGGCTCTCCATCGGGCTCCTTCAAAAACCTGCGCCGGGGACTTCTGTGTAAAGGCTGCCACGGGGGTGGCTAACCGTGGCCCAGGGGACCTCACCTGCCACTCAGGGAAGAGCCCGCTGGCCTCAGCTTTCCGCAGCCGCGACCAAGAGGGGCCATCTACTCCCCATCAAGTGCTCTCCCTGGTTGGAGAGCCAGCAGACCCACGCCTCTCCCACGTCCGTCTCCACCTTCCGTGTGTCCCCTGCAGAGGGCAAGCCTCTGCACCTCCTCTCCCGCCTACCCTGAAGAAAAGCGAGCCACAGAGCCACCTCAGCGGTCTTGGCCTGCGCCCGTCTGTGCGCATGCGCAGTGCTCGTCCGTAGCCGGCCTCGCCCACAGCTGGGAAGAACCTTCGGCGGGCGGGCGGACGAGGACGCTGCACTTCCGGCACAGCTGCATGCAGATACCGGCCACCGCCAGGCCTTTAAATACGTTGCATTCGGTTCCAGGTGGGAGGATAGCATTTCAGGTTCCCGGGGGGGGGGGGGCAAGTCACGTGACCGGCCCCCTTCCACACCTTGAGGATAATAAGGAGGACAGCTTTCTGTGTGCTTTGTTTTTTTTAAAGTAATGAAATATCCCCCATTGCTGATGTCTATGGCAAGTGAGTCCTCTCTCTGTTGCGTTTCTTTCTTTCTTTCTTTTTTTTTTTTTGACAGTCCCCTTCCGGTCAAGGTCAGGACTGGTCTCCGTGACCCTTGTTAATCATGACTCTTCATGGATCCCACACAAAATAAATACAATAGTATTGTGACACACGCGTGGTCCGACGCCTTCAGAGAAGACTAACAAGAGTGGCCAGGTCGGGCCCCGGGGTTGGGCGGGGACACCCCGTGGAAGAGGTCTGAGGGCCTTGGACGTGGCCAGCCTGCCCAGTTGCTCGGCTGCTCTGAGAGCACTGGGGAGGGGAGCCGGTGAGGCCAGAGATGGGGAGGCAGGCCCTGCTCTGGGAAGGCCAGGGATGTGGCCAGAGGTCATGCTGGGCCTGGCAGGGGAGGGGAGCGGCTCAGAGAACTCAGGAGTGCTTTATGGGCCTCAGGATGACTCTCAGCACACGGATCCCAGGCTACCCAGTGCCGGGAGACTCTTAACAACCCTTGACAGGGCCTTAGATGCCCGGCTCCTACTTCAGGAAAAGCTGGAGTTGGCCTGTGTGAACTTGCTTTGGGAGACGACCAGTCTGCTGAAATTTCGAGAGGATACGCTGGGTAACAAACGGGTCCTGATGTTTTACCAGCACCGGGAGCCAGACATGAAACCCAGGGGTGATAAGAAGCTACATAAACTGGGTGCTGGTGGCGCATACCTTTAATCCCAGCACTGGAGAAACTCTGTCTAGAAAAACAAACCAAAAAAAAAAAAAAAGCTACTTAAGGGTCTGCCTGGGCCCTTGTAGAGGTTCCTGGAACAAATGGGGCGGGAACCCCAGCCTTCACCTAAAGCACCTATTGGGACTTTAAGCTGCTTCCACAGGGATTGAGTGTGTACTGGTGTGCCCCTGCAGGGGTGAGAGAGACCAAGGATTGTGTGTGTACTGGTGTGCCCTGCAGGGGTGAGAGGGACCAGGGCTTGGGTGTGTACTGGTGTGCCCCTGCAGGGGTGAGGGGTGAGCGGTACCAGGGCTTGAGTGTGTACTGGTGTGCCCCTGCAGGGGTGAGGGGGACCAGGGCTTGAGGTGTACTGGTGTGCCCCTGCAGGGGTGAGGGGTGAGAGAGACCAAGGATTGTGTGTGTACTGGTGTGCCCTGCAGGGGTAAGGGGTGAGAGAGACCAAGGATTGTGTGTGTACTGGTGTGCCCTGCAGGGGTAAGGGGTGAGAGGTGAGAGGGACCAGGGATTGAGTGTGTACTGGTGTGCCCCTGCAGGGGTGAGCGGGACCAGGGCTTGAGTAGCCTGATAGTCCTGTGTCTGCCCACCTGTCCCTGGCTTGGACACACTCATGCCCTGGGGAGGACTGGAAGGTGCCAGCCAAGCCCAGAGATGGCAGAGGCTAATTCCCTATGGAGAAGCCTCCATCCTGTTGGAAGCAGGAGGGCTGCTGGCCCAAGCTGCCTCGGGAGCCCAGCTCCGCTGTCCTCGGAGTCTGAGGCGCTGGTGGTAACAGGAGGCAGCCAGGCAGGTGCTCACAGCCTCAGCGTCTCTAAGGCCTGTGTTCCTCAGAGGGTGGCATGGACCCCAACAACAGGCATTGCTTCTCCTTAGGGAGGGACACAGCCCCCGCCCCATAGGCCAGTCCCACAGGGGGCTGAGGCCTGTGATTAACCCTGTTTTGAGCCACAGACTGGCCAGTCACAGCCCGCTGAAACAGGGTATTCTTACGTGGAGTTCCTCGGGGCCTGGGACACACGTCCTGCATGTCCTACGTGCTGAGACTCAAATGGACAAGGCCACCCACACCTCCATGCCTTCAACTAGGCAGACCTCGAACTTCCCATCCCTACAGTACCTGCCCCCCACACACACAACCCGAGCAGTAACGTTCATTACCTGCGTGTCCCCTCATCCCAGCTAACTCCTGTCTTTGCCCGTCCTGGTTATAAGGACCCTCCTCCATTGCCTCTCAAGCCAAGAGTCTGGAAAAGGTGGGTCATTCGAGGAGCACACCCTGAAGGCCACACCCACCTCTCCTTGTCACCAAGTCACCCCTTTCAAGCCCACGCTCTGCCCGTGCTTCATCTGGGCTCTGGTGTCCAGGCACCACCACACCTGTGTCCCACCCTGTCAGGGAAAGGGTGTCTCAGCGGCTCCTCCATGATGAGGAGACCCCACCCCACCCCCACCCCCGCCCCCCACCCCAGCTCTGTCTTCTGTTAAGGAGCAACTGTCCTCCAAAAACACCAGACCAGAGGGCACCTGCCACTGGCCTGGCCTGTGACACCCAGATTCTCACATTCCTATATTTCAAAAAGGTGCCTGGTTGGGGCTGGAGAGACGGCTCAGAGGTTAAGAGCACTGACTGCTCTTCCAGAGGTCCTGAGTTCAATTCCCAGCAACCACATGGTGGCTCACAGCCATCTACAGTTCAATCTGGTGCCCTCTTCTGGCATGTAGGCAGAACAGTGTATATGCAATAAATAAATAACCCTTTAAAAAAGTCATTAAAAAAAAAAGGTGCCTGGCTCTCCCCGTCCTCTCCACCTGAGTCCTCCTCCTCTCTCTGTATCTCCAGAGAGTTACAGCTCTCTGGGTCCTCTGTGTGTGTGTGTGTGTGTGTGTGTGTGTGTGTGTGTGTGTGTGTGTGTGTGTGTGTGTGTCTAAGTGGGAAGAAAGGGAAGGGGTGATTTAAACAATGTTTAAAAGCTGTTCATACCCAAACGGGAGAGTAGGTCTCAGGCCAGAGCCTTCTGGTTCTCTGACCCCAGACAGAAGGGGACGCTTCACGGTATCAAAGATGACAGAGGCTTCTGAGTCCGTGATGCCGTGAGGACACAGAGTCCCCACCTTAAAAAAAAACATGGGAGTGCCCACTGAACTGAGATGCCTTTGGGAGGAAGTTCACCCGCCCCTGGCCGGCCATAAACAGTCAAGCACTGATGCATCAGGAAAAGACGTCAGGGTCAGGGGTCTCGAGGCTGCAAGGCAGTGGGGAATGAGCGACGGGCGTGGTAGGGGGGGTAAGGTGGGGCCCTGCTGGTAGGGCGAGAGGCCAGGGCTTTGGGTGGTTCAGTTAGGGGCTGTGTCCAGCGTGTGACACCATCTGCCGGACGCACGCAAAGAATGAGAGCAACACACAGCAGAAAAGGCGCCAGAAAGCAAAAGGCAGGCCCGCTTAAAAGGAAGGCTGCAAGGGAGTCGGTGCTGCCAAGTGTTCGTCGCGGAGGGAACGCCCAGTAGTGTGTACTCTCCGCACTGCTTTTCTTCTGGAGCGTCCTGGACAAAGAGACTAGTGGCTGCAGGAGGCACTGCCAAGGGGGCAAAGGGAGCCTACAGGTCGTCCTGTCCCAGAGACATCGACATCCTTTCCCCCTCCCTCCCCCCAGAACCCAGAGCTCTGAGTGCAAGCTCCGGGTGTGACTCAGCCAGGCCCAGGACAGGCTGCTGCCAATGGAGGCTCGACCCACTAGCCTACAAGGTCATGTAGGGATGCCAGGTGAGGACACTCTGGCTTCTAAACTCGAGGAGAGGTCTGCTTCCCCATGTCTCCCTCCGTGAGAGGGGATCCAGTCTACTTGAAAACCTGAACAGGGTGCTACCATTAGCACCTCTCCGGGAGGTTTCGGAAGGGTCAACTTGCGTGACAGCCCCAGGCTGAGCCCCTCTCTTCTGCCTGCACAGGCTGGAGCAACAAGGCAGAAGCCCAGAGCAAACTCGGGTCTCCTCCACCAGAGGCTTAGGCTCTCGTTTGCCCCAAAGCCAGCACCCTGGTGGATTCCTGGGAAACGTTCAGCTGTGCCAAATGGCTCGTTCAGATAGCACATTCCCCCACTCTAAGGCTTTCTGTCTGATTAGGCACACACAGCCTGCCTCAGGCCGACAAACATAAATGAAGCTTCAGGGGTGTGATCAGCGTCCCTGAAATGGGGTGGGGGGGTCGTTGCACAAGGTCCAGGGGGCCCGCATTCAAGTAGATGAGATCTGCCAGTTCTGCCAGGGACAGGGTCCTTGCAACAGGGACAGGATTCGGCTGGGACAAATGTGCCTGCAGGTGCCCCCAGGGAAGGCTGGAAGTGAAGGCCCTGCTTCCTGCCTGGGCTCCCCCCCCTTCCTGTCCCCTCTCACAGTGGCCACGGCGCCCCCTCCAGGACGTTGCAGATTTGCAGGCTGAGCAAGAAGACCACAGCCCCCTCCCCTCAAGACTCAGGTAGAGCACAGTTGCTGGGCATCCCCAAAGAGGACTGCAGTTCAACGACAGCTCACCAAATAAGCCTGGCCCTGGGATTTCTGCAGAGATAACTCGTGTGTGTGTGTGTGTGTGTGTGTGTGTGTGTGTGTGTGTGTGTGTGTGTGTGTGTTGCACGGAGCACAGGGTCTCCCCAACCCCACAGCTCCAGAGGTCCACGGAGCTTACTCCATTGAGGGAGCTGGCAGGAGGGGCGCTCTGTCAGAAGGAGGGCTAAAGGTGCTGTCCCGGCCTCCCTGGCCCCTCTCAGCCCCCGCTGCTCACTGGGTGGATGCCAGCCACACTTCCGCACAAGACACAGAGCATGGCGGGACTCAGCAGTAGTTCAAACCTGCAAGGCCTGGGCTTCCCACTAATGCTGGCTTCCGGGAAGGGCCCGCACCCAGCGCTCTGTCTGAGGGTATAGGATGGTACTTGGGCACCGCAAGACGCGGCATCTTCTCTCGAGGACTCTTCGGGGCTCTTCTGGGCTTCTACCGAAGAGACTGCCGGCTCCCACCACCCCACGCTCGGCTCTGCAGAGGCCCTTGGGGTAACGTCTGACTTCACACCCGATCCTCTCACCCTGCCTTGCTTGCACAAGGTCACACCCCCACCAGAGCCACTGTGCGCACGGTACCTACAAAGTGCGGGAGCAGGGGTCCTGCATGCGGGAGTGTGCGAGCCTGGGGAGGGGAGCCCGGCTGAGGGAGCACAGGAGGCGATGGGGGGAGAACCAGCACTCTAATCGTAACAGGTGCATGCTGGGTAAGTATTAATAACTCATGATGCAGGGAGTTGGGGAGAGTCTAATTACAATGACCCCCACGCAAGCCCACAGCACTGAAAAGGAAACCGCACTGCCCTGGAAGCCCAAAGGCATTCATAGGCCTCCCCCTCCGGGAGTAAGCCAGGCCTCTGACTCCAGCCCCCTCT